ATATATATATAGAATGTATGTATGTCTGAAGAAAATATGTGTATGTAAGAGAAGAATGTATGTGTGTGTGAGAGAGAGTATAGTGGAAACGGAAGGCGTATAATGGAAACGGAAGGCAAGTCAGGCACGATCAGGGTCATTGGGACAGGTCCTGATCCTGATCAGCATGGCTGAGGTAGATGAGGCGGCCGCAGAAGTATTTCAGCAAGTTATGTGGGCTTAAAAAATAAATAAATATTATCATCGTGAAAAGGTTACATGGTCTCGTCCCTTGAGGGAGTTGTGATTGAGGACGCGGCTCTGCCTCAGCCGTGTTGCCAGATACACGTATTATAAGCTTCTATGGATTTTTAAATCAAAAACGACCAGGTTAAAAACAGCGCGGTCAGGTTATTCCTGACAGGATGCAACTTGATAACACAAACGTAATGATCATCATGATATATTATCTGTAAGACAGATGCACTGAAGACGGACACAAAGAGGAAAGAATAGTCACGCAAGCAGAGAAAATACTGTAACGTTACCAGACAGCATAGGCGCGGGACGTGGGTGTGCTGGGTGCTGCAGCAGCACCCCCTGTTTTTTCTGTGGGCAACTTTAACTGTTGGGAATAAAAAAAAAAATCGGAGTGTCTATTTACACTAAGTGCAAATAGCCCGCCTTGTTGGCAGAGGCTTACACTAATTCCACCCACCAACGTGTGATTGGGCTAGTCATCATTACAAAAGACTGCTACCAATCGTCAGATTCAGTGGCGCAAATGGTAACATTTGTGTCATACTCCCTTTGACGCGATCGACATGGGTTCGAATCTGCCTTTTGGCGAACTTTTTTTTCTCCCTTTTCAAATTTCAAATAACATCAGAAAAGCATTTATTTTTAATAAAAATGAAGGAAATAAAGTATCGGGTAGGGTTATGGTAGGTGTAGGGAGGGCATTTGTCCCAATAGTGGCATCCATTTAATAATTTGAATTAAAATGAAAATTTACACTCAATAAGTTATTATTGCATACTGTTTTATAATGTATTACAATGCTGAGGTGCAGATAATTGCCACTATTTGCAATAAGTAATTAGCAGAATACCCTGCTATATTAACATAGTAGGCTATAGGCTAAATATAATCGATAGCTATTTGCACTTAGTGTAAATAGCATATGATATCACAAAAAAAACTGCTATTTTCACTTAGTGTAAATAGCATCTATTGCTATTTGCACTAAGTGTAAATAGCCTCTATCGCGTTAGTTTGGCCAGTAACAGAGCAAAATAAACATTTAATAAATGTAAAAATAAATAAATAAAAGTAATAAAAACTAAATAAATTGGCAACGAGTATGGGAATCGGCTCATTTGATAGTAAAAATTTTTTTTTAAAAATCGGCAATTGGAATTGGTCACGAAAAATCCTGATCAGTGCATCCTTAGCTGGAATAGAGTTAGACCTACCTGAAAAACCATGGTTCATTTCAGTTTTATCTTTGAACTATTGTACCTATTTGTGCAAAAATGGTTATCATTTATTATAATACAATGTTACAGTCAACAATGAAAACAATAAGTCTTATTTATTGATTGTGGCAAGGCCTGTGAAAATTTTG